AAAGAACTTTGAATTTTATGTATAATAAATCCCCTTTCCTATATATAATATCGTTTATCGACTTTTATTCAATAGATTGCTAAGACATCTACCAGCATGTCTGTGACAACAATTTGTGGAACGTGTCACTCATTTGAGATTTAGACAACTGCAGATTTCAAATTGTTGTTAAGCTTGCTTTATAAACATCCGCAAGCGTCGAGGAGATACATTTTACGGAATACAATAAGCTTCAAACCTAACTAGCACTATAAGTACCTCCAATCAAACCGAAGGCTCTCTCCATTTCGAACGCATACGATACACTGTCGATAAACGTAAGATTTCACTTCAGAATCAATTTTAATCAAGCGCACAACTTTTCTGAGTCTCATTTACCACATCAACAAGCGTCAGACAACCTTAACGGTCTAAGTTAACTAACTAGTCTACACAGAAGGAAAATTCAGATTTACTAATATGAACCTAACCTTTAGGACAGCATCTGCAACGTTTTGTCGAGCAGTGTTCTATAGAGTTTAACTTTTTCTTGCATTTTATGCAGCATTCGCAAAGAGAAGACTTTTACGCTCAGAAATAGATTGTTAAATAAAGTCACGATCGATTGCACAGTTTAAGTTACCCCTGTACATTGAAGCCGTTTTTTTTTTACAAATCAAGTCAAGGTTCATTTTTGTGTCTAGTCAAACCAAATACAAAGAATATCACCGCTACCATTTTGACGCCTGTTGGCTAATTTAATTTTTGTTCTAGGCCTTTTGGTAAATTTTCGCATGTACTCAATTATCAATGGTAACTTAAACAATTCGGATAGTATGGGCGAATTAGGGATTGTGTCTTAGTTACTCGTGGTATCGTTTTTTCTAGTACCTCGTTTTGGTAACACGTAAAATTCCTAAATTACTTCTAAACTTACAAGTGCGTATTGCCTTACCGTGCAGCGAATGTGCCTATGCTTGACATTTTTATTCGAAATTTTATCTAACACCCTTTAACCTAGAGACATCGAAAGAAGCTAGCCGAACTTACGAGTAGAAGTTAAAATGAGTCGCGTTAAGCGTGTGCGTTATAGTCAACTTCGTCACCATAACGGATAAAGTCTATATATTCAGAAACCTATATATGCATGGTGGCTTGGACCGTTAGAGGTTCCAGCTGTTACGGGAGCGATACATAAGCCATACATGACTTGTGTGGATAAAATAATTGTACACTAATTGTACAATTATGTTTTGCACGCTAGTGAGCCAGATTCTAAATCGCAGGTAGGAAAAGATCATCTTTAAAGATGACTTAGCTATGTCCGTCTAATTTGTCATATAGGCAGTCAGATGCAATCGATTACCTGTCTTTTGTTACTTTGTAAATTCAAATATGTCGCAGCATTGGACAGTACACACCAGTATTTACTGCCCGCATCAGTGCCTAAGCACTGCGTGCTCGGATTGAGTGCCCACCATCGATTGCACCAATTTTATTGCATGCTAAACATTGACTTCTTCTTCTATTCAGGCCACTGCAGGTTTAAGAGCCAAAACAGACCTAATTATAGCGTTCCACTTCTCTCAGTGAAGTCAATAATTGTCGAAGATTCTTAGCACTATTCATAATTGACTTTTACGCAACCATGTAACAATTGACGGACAACTTCTTGAGAAGTTTCGAGCTAAAGCTTTTCTTAGCATAATAGGGTTTAAATTTCTCCAATTTCGCTATTTCGTTTCAACCAAACTCAGAGACGTAGGCAGGTTGTTTTTCAATAAGCTCTGTAATGCTTTGCAGTGTCTTGGAACTATAATTTTACTCACTCGTATTAAATCATTTAGCTGTTGTCCATCGAAAGCCCGATCAGTTGGTTCTATACGTCCGTACGACCCAGCTGAATAATTGCTTTGGGTGGAGGAGAGCGCTTTCCCACTAACGATTTTTGCTCAGTTGATTAAAAATCTGTTGTTGACTGTGTCAGCTACCGGGAGCACATATTAAGCCTAACTTAACAAGCCAAAGTAGAGCAAAAATAGATTGAACAATTTTAACAGTATTGGCTTAGCGATGTCCCACGAATGTAGCTCACACGAAGCGTAAATGAGCATCTCAATAATATTGTCAATATATCCTGGCACTTTTTTTGTATATCATGTAATTTTTCAGGTGCGTTTAATAGAGAAATCCTCCGATCGAAAGCTCTTCTTTCTATATAGCTACCAGCGATTTTTTGCTTTTAACAAAAGTAGAAAACTGGGAACATTAATAGCTGGTCGTTCATTGTCAAGGCTAACGATGACCTGCGAACTATATGATCCTTAATTCAGTCCGGCAGCATCCTTAAGAAAATTTTACTTTGGCCATTGTCCCTAGTGGCTCCGCGTAAATATAATATATTGAGTCAAATGGTTTTAAAATATGCTTATACCTAGGTAATCATAAAACCGGAAGAGATTGCCCTTTTTGGTTAAGTTCTTGCCACCTGAGATGTTCCAATAATATGAATGGATTCGTGAAAGTGTAGAATCGATAGCCTCTCTTCAGAAGATCATTTTTGAGATACTAGAATACTGTTACCCGTATCTTTTAAATAGTGCCACTTTTACTAGTATCAAGTTTGCCCTGAAGAGGCGATAAAAATGATTTGACAAATTTCATTTGACAAAATGTCCGAACAAAAATTTCAAGTTCATTCAAAATTATAAGATATCTTCGAAAAAGTTTTGTCATCCCTCCTGGTAAGAAAGAACCACAGTTAAAAGTCAACTTTGACAGCTATAGCACAATGGATCTGATGATGGCGAGAAGACGCACCTGGACGCCACAAGGGAACGAGTGTTTGTGACAGTCATATTTAACCTCTAAAGTACCCTGGTGGATATTTAGACCACGCACTACCTGTTGGATAATATTTTATAATAAATTGAACTCAAATGAGTAATCTTTATTCAAAGAATAACAGCTTTCAGTGATCATAGAGTGCGGACATAAATCGCAGATAAAATACCGCAGAAGAAATCATAAGTGGAGAATTGATCTCTCGATAAAGAACCATTAAACGGCAAAGCTTCTAGTTATATTGCAACCTAGTCAGGACTCTAATTTCTAGCTACTTGGTATTGATGCTTTCTCCTATATGACATATGTTCATGAAGGTAACATTGTAAAACGAATATTGAAGGATTAAATAATCCTTCAATGTTCGTTTCATAGCATAGTTTGAGAAGTTTATTACCCTCCAATAAAGTTCTTCGAATTGGGCGACAATGCTGACCAGCGATGTTTTCTTCTTCAGCTGCATCTATGGAAGCTGACAATCTTACAGAAAAAGGATTCAGATCTTTCAGCTAGTAAAGTTACAAATTCACTGCGTTTTGTCGAGTTTTCGATGTAATTCTTGATCAGAAAACCAGCGAAAGCCAATACTAGCAACACTTTTCTATCCCAATACCTGAACCACATTAAAATACTTTTCAACAAATTTCAGTCAGCATTTATGTAGGATGACATGAACATTGGGTACGTTTTCACTTAGGAAAAGACATGACTCAAACTTTAAAGAAGGCAATCGTCGAGGGAGAAACCAAAATTTCGTTTAGCTATTGAACAGAAGTCAGGAGCCTTGAGCGTTTACGAACTCACACCGTGCAAAATATTCCGTACGAAGTACCCTTTTATCAACTTGTTCAATTTATGTTTACAAAACGACTACGTTTAGAACTTGATACGTGAAAGGCCTACGAAGATAGAGATGTATCCAGTGTCGTTTTGGTAAGTCTGCTTTCTAACAAAGATTCAACAAGGAAACCGAATTCTATAGCAGAAGCCGTGCAAAAAACAATGGGAAAACTTGAACCTACGCTTTTCCTATACCAGGGTACAATACCTTTGAACATTTAACATATTTGAATATTTGCTTGTTGATGTCAAACGCTTAAATATTGGCTTAATCGGCAAGTTATTGTTCAATATTTATAATAATGATAACAATCTTTCCCTAATGCCCGTTCAGTTAAAGTTGATCTATCCATCGTTGAATGAATCGTTACACACCGTTACGCTGAGAAGGACGCTTACGCTGTCCTGAGTCCTGTTAGTGTATCGTCTGTTCCTTATCAAAGCCTTCAGTATGAGACGCGTTCGTCTCGTACCGAAGGCTTTAATCTCATTCGTTACGGTGCCACACTTCGCGACACTTTTTTGTATTCAATAGAATGGCAAAGACAGCTTGTCATATAAACCTTGCATTCACCAAGAGTTCTCACACTAACAACAGCGTAGGCTGTTGTCTCTAAAAATTCCGTGAAAGAAATTTTGAACTCGAAAGCGGGTATCGCCCTACGAGGATGAAAAACGAGGAAGTAAGGGTTGTGGTGGAAGCCGGTTCATCTCAAAACGCCCTCAGCTCTGGTATATGTAACTGTTACCTGTTTCAGTGAAATTAATAAGGTGAATCGTGATAATCGCAGACGGCCAGGGCGTCACTTCATAGCAAATAAACAACTGCAATAGCTCATGCAGTCTATTTGGTAGTCTAATGCAAATGTGATTCTGGTCCGCTCGACCACGGCTGAAATGCAGTGTCAGCAATTAGAGTAGATAACGAAAAAAAAAAGTCTGCGTGGTAAACCTCACATCGTAATGATTTCGATGAAAAAAATCCAAGCGTTCAAGCTGGAGGTTCTCTGTCTTCCACCATACTCGCCAGACATTGCTTCTACAAATGATTTTTCTTTCAAAATCTTGCTAAGTTTAAATTTCTACAGCACCAAAATAGATAAGTCACCGTTTAACTGGCGGAAGGTCATAAATAATAATGGTTCATACTTCGACTAGGACTACAACAACAAGAACTAGGTCTCTAAAAAAACTCTGAAAAGTTTCCCACTACGCCACGTTCCGTATTGAATGGCTTAATAAAATTGACTTATCCATCGTCGACACTGCGCTGTAGCCGTGTAGCCGATGAATTGTACACTGATAGAGTACAAACGAAATTTTGTTGGAATACATACCAGTGAGTTCATCGTCGTCGAGGGCCCACGCGTAGGCTGTGCTTTGTGGACCTCGAAAAACTAGGACGAATAAAATCATAACGGTAATGAGCCGAGCGATGATGTGTGAGAACGTCGACGATACTGCTGTTGTTGTTGACGATGAAGCACTCCTTATGGTTTTTCTACCCAGTCGGAACGTCGGCATACGTGCCCGAGAGATCGGCACCTGTCTGCCTTTGGAGAACTGCATATCGCACCGGAGATGATGGTAAACGGCTTTATTCTGTACCGTCGAGCGCGCAGTCTACTATCGTTACATAACACCCCTGAGTGGTCAGTGGATGAAGTACGCCGATTTCTCGGGTACTTCCACCGTACTCAAACAATGATGTCATTGCACTATACAACGAAACACAGTACAGTAAATTTGCGTAATCCAAGGTCGTTCGCACATTTTACATATCGCCTATAGTTACAAAATTCCGCCAGACGACACTATAATTAGGAGTTATGAAGCACTATGGCACAGCAGTTTTACAGACGTTGATATCACCAGCTTTACAAGTATCGAAACAAAAAACAGCCCCGTAAATGTTAAGAAAACCTTGTCCGTGGCGACCTGGTGCGACGGTTAATGAAATCACAACTTAGACCGTACATAATACATTTTTTAACGTAAAATTGAACGTAACTAAAGTTGATTCTGCATTATCACGCCGAATCGCACAACAGCTCAATGAGTTTAGACACGACTAAGCTATAACGTGCTGCGGGTTAGTTTTTGCGTCGGCAGACGAGAATGTAGATGCTTTCGTGCTCCAGCGTAAAATCCGTTACATTTGACTAAATCGCAGTCATCACAGATTTCGTTCTAAAAGCTTTAATCAAAAGCGGTCAATAGTCTGACAATTTCGTGACGATGTTGAAAAGTCATCATACGTAACCTTCACACTACCAGGATGCGGAAAATCGTTCCTCGTGAAACTTTTAGCCAACTCTTATTGAGGCTAGGCGGTCTGAAGAATCGTCCGCGCGCCCGAAGCGAACCCGCTACCGGCTGCGCGTGAATCGTTCGGGAAGGGAAAGGGCACGTTATGGGTGAGAGAGTAACCGGAAAGGACCGACATTGGGCCTCTTTCCTACGTGGCGCTGCTGGCTAGGGTGGAGTATGTGGCGGCGGCAAAAGTGATTTCGACGTTCAGTGCGGAGCTGGCACAGGCGAGAGGTAGACATACGTCTGCGACATACGTGGACTTTTTCATTGAACATGAATTTACTGCTGCTGATACGTAGCTATGTACCGCTAAATATCCGCTTGATATAATTATACTTAGGTAGCGCATAATACCATCATGGCGATAGTTTTACGGCCACGACGAAAGGAATTAATAATATAGGTCCTACTACAAGTGTTAGTAGTTGCAGCAACCGACCGATGATGGGTTAGATCAAAAATATTATATTCAGATAGAGCAGTAAATTGTCGCAACGTTCTTAGTCTCTGTTGCAATATATAAACTTTTACCGCAAACGTGGGATCGTGCGATAACAGACGAAAAAACAGATGGATCAATAAGTAAGTGATAAGGAATGTATCCAATTTTTGCCAGGGAAAACCTACCAATAGAAATGACGGTCACCGTGGCAGTACCGAAGATCATTGTGAGCCAGCCTTTGAGGTCCTCGTTACCGTTACAAATTTCATTTACAAGTATGCGATTTATAATTATGGTATTAGATGGAAATCCATCAGCGCGATCCGGAGAATATTATTATAAATAACCTCTTACTTAAGGTATTGGTAAACTACTTGACAGGCCTTTGCCGTTTACGGTCTGACATTGCAGTGGAAATGTATAATTTTACCGTGCGTACTAGGCTTTTTTTTGTTAGTTAGCCTCGATGAAAAGAAGATATATACAAAATAGTTATTTAACGTCTTGTAGTCGTCAAGCATTTACCGACGAATAAAATATTCTCTATCGGCCCTATCAGAAATAAATTATGATGTTTTTGGGATGAAGATCGTGTTTGGCGTCGAATTTAGGCATACCTTCATAAGTTATTCATTTTTTTTTCTCTCTGCATATATTACCTTTTGTCAGCTGTAACCATTCTGTATAAAAAAACCTGTGATAGTAATAGCGCGTTGCTTAGTAACAGAACGAGATGTTAGGGGCTAATGAAAAGCCCTGCATCCTTGTTGGTAGCTGTTTGTACGGTTGCCGTATCGTTTTATGGGTTATAAATCTGTTGGAGAACCTCGAACTGAGTCTAGCAAGATCCACCCTAGGTGAACTCCTAGTGAATGCAAGTCCTTGATGCTGTACCTGAAAAGAGGTGATTTCGAAGACTTGTTTGCATAAAAAGAGTAAATAAAAATACGAAATACTTTGGTTGAAAAAAGGCTCAAGCGCCGGACGTAAAATACGAAGAATCTATTCAACTATATACAATTTATTCCCTTCAAGCAGCTGAATTGTTGAGTTCTTAGTCAACCTCGGATATCACTGACTATGCCAAAGTAAATCCTCCAGCTCCAAATGAATACGTATATTTATAGTAACTAATTATAACGTAACAGAGAGCAGGCCAAGATTTGCTTAACGCTATAGTTAAAAATCAACGAGCTGCCATGGTAGAATAAATCAGTAAATTATATCAGTATATTCGTTAAAGACTCTTCTAATCGGTGCTTCGAGCGGCTTTGTTACAGTTTATTTGTTTTATATGCGATTTTCTGAGAAGGTTTGTTTTCACAGAATTGTTATCAGCTTTTCAATAAAGCTAAGGGGAAAATTATTATTATTTTTTTTTTTTTTTTGCGAGAAACGCACAGCGGTATAGCTAGAGTAGAGGATGTTTATAATCATTAACTGCTATAGGCAGATGGGAGATTGTAGTTCTTTTATTGCATGGGAATATGCTGTGCAGTGAGGAGGAGACGAAGGTTCTGAAAAGCTTAATTACTGACGCTTCGATAAACTCTGTTTTATTCGAGAAGTAAGGAGGAAAAGTAACAGTGTACACATTGTTTTCCGGATCTATCCGAATCACTGACACTTGAACAAGCATCGTGCTTATACATGATTCTGGTATTGATGATAAATTTTAACCCATAATCATGACTAGCTTGACCGAAATCCGTATATCAGCAATATTATGATGTGCCGTGCTAACAAAATTGTCTAAACTCCTCTCAAAAGGTGCCACGTTGCTCGCCACAACAAAATGTAATACAATAGCGATGAGATCCTTAGCTTGACATATTTATACATACACATGTCCTTAGTATACTGAATTGCACATTGAGGCCATTTTGTTTTCCCCCCTATAAAGTTACGGTCGACAGTAGCCGGTGTCATATAGGCTCGAATATATGGCTTTATTTGGCTTTTAGTTCCACTTCACTTAGCCCTTAGGATCGTGTAATAACTTAACGGAATGACTTTTACAAAATATAACCTGCTTTTAATTCGTCCCAAAAAATTATCAACTAGGATAGATGAAATTGTCAATAGAATGAACTGGTTATCTTGCTGCTGTATAATATGAACACAAATGCGAAATACTACGGTAACACTTTGGCCTTGTAAAGTGACAGTGACGGAGATTATTGGTGAAGTTCGGCTGCGGTACTCGTGTGTATATTCCAACGTACGATTCTATCGATCGCTCTCTTTACCAGCTCTCGCTCGAAAATGTGTTAACCATCCAGACATGCGATGATTCCCGATTGACCGCTTAAGCTTAACGGTAACGGGATTCTGCGACTGTCTTCGACGTTTCGAGTTATCACTGCTTCAATTTTGGTCTATTGCCTTGCAGCGGAAATTTGCGACGGTTCCTAGGAGTGTTCCCACCGATGCAAGCGTGGCAAGAACGTTTCGTGCAACTGTTAAATTAAGAAATAACAGTGTTGGTGACAACGCGAGTACCTCCACAGTGAAGCGTTTTATAATGGAAATTACGTTACGTTTTACTTGATTACATGTAACGTTTAGGATACGTTACTAGCGAGGCATGAACTAGCAATCTCCGCGTTTCTCAGCCAGAAGTTTAGCCGTCTAGGCCACCATGCCGCCACAGAAATTCGTTCTACATTTTGGCCGATCATTTCTATAACGATTTGATAATTTTTCAGTGGCATTAATTGTAGCGCTAGTGCGGACACAGGTGTGATTTAATCGGGTACCTTATTACCTTTATAGAGCAATAGACACGGGGACCAACCAACTAACAGGCTATTGTTAGAGCTAATAATGTAATTAGTTTAAAAGCCAAAACACTGTTTAGTGCTTGCAATCAGCCTTTGTTTCTTGAAGACGGGAAGGCTCGTGAAACCCATTGAAGATTGGTAGAAGTACTGACGAGGAGGCCTTCAGGAACATAGCACTACTAATGCAGCATGATTGGAAGGTCGAGGACTATGAACAAGACTATGAAAACTACATATTAATATTTCATACGTAAGAATAGGATCACAGAAGTTTCTCGTCTGTGGCGAAGTACGCTTCAGGCGACATCTTTGTCGGTAGTAGTTGCCCAAATTACCTCTAGAATACATCGCACGTGTTCGCAGCTATTCAGGACTCAGTTTGCTAAAAGCCAGTTGTCTGTGTTTTACTTCCATTGCCAGTGGCTTCGTTGCAATTTTGCAATACGGGATTTCGAGCAATTCGGTCATGGGCCGACAGGAAGCGAGTTGTCCTATTTCGTACAAAAGCTTCCGTAACCAAAGAAAGCACTCGTTTTTTTCGTTAAAAATGCCGAGATCTTCTCACATCATCTGTACTTTTCAAACTCCCAGTTTTCGATATTGAAATAATTATATCAGTAACGAACCTTTATGTAGCTGACGTCTCTCTTGCTTAACGTTTTCGCCAACCTTCAATCGAGTTCGCCAATGTTCTCGCCTTCGAGGAGCAGAAATTTTGTTACCGTTTTCAGTCACTCTTTAACACTGACCGATACCTGTGCCCTTAATCTTACAATCCTCGCATTACGCTCAATCAGATTATAGTCGTGGATAGCTAAAGACTTAACGTAAATATGTACCAAGTTTGGTCGCTGAACGGTGCCATGTATAGATTAAAGTGTATTAATTCCAATATTCTTAGCGTGTTTCACTTGAAATGTCATTAATTATATAACCTAAAGTGTAGTATTCTGTATATAAAAAAAAAATTTGCGTTTCACGCCAGTAACGTAAGCGGATAGATCGTAGTTAGTTGACGGGTCGCAGGTAGACCTGTGAATATAATTGCTTAATTTAGGCATATAATCAATCGTAAGCGTTCGACACGTGGAAACATAGACCTAGCCGGACGCATGCTGATTAAATATAAGCGAAAATATCTAGAGATAGGCCTAATTATGGATCTAAAAACAGTTAGAATCAAAGCCTTCCCCTAACATTCTCAAGTCGATTGAAGCTAACTCACCTTCATAACGAGGCGGTTAACGATCGAAAACTATTGACCTTTTAAAGTTATGGTAGTCTCTTATTATATGGCAAATAGGATTACACAAAGACACAAAATAGCTAGCTAAATCTGGAAAAGCTAATTACATCTATTTCACGATAGACTTGCCGACCGGTGTCAAGGTTGCTTCCAAAAAACGTTTTTTTTTTTATGCAAGGATGCAGTGTAAATAGATATGAGGCTCTAGTTAGCGGTAACGAAGAGGGTTAGATTTTTTTATATAGAAGTTTACAGTATTCTTCAGTTTTAGCTAGTATAAATACCTGATGTGACGAATATACGATATTCAAAGGCTTATTACAAATATGGTACCAATACCTTTATGGTTTAATTAGTGCTTTTTGGTATTCTCAAGATAATCAGAAAAGACCCATACTCTAATATTGTAAGCTTTAATATCTATACACGCACTTACAACTTCAGTGTTTAGGATCAATTAGTGTTTCTATTCCAGAATGGTTTTAACAGATGATATTATATTTGAATCAAAATTGGTATGGGATCAATTATTGTT